AAAAAAAAAAAGGAAAAAAGGAGCGGTTGGGAGCTTCAGTCACCCCCAGCCTGAAAACAGCCCTCAGCCCCTCACCCAGACTGGCCAGGCACCCCAGTGGGGACCCCCACCCTGAAGGGTGTGTGACCAGCTGCAAACAGCCCTCAGCCCCTCACCCAGGCTGGCCAGGCACCCCAGTGGGGACCCCAACCCTGAAGGGTGTGTGCCCAGCTGCAAACAGCCATCATCCCCTCACCTTGGCTGGCCAAGCACCCCAGTGGGGACCCCCACCTTGAATGGTGTGTGACCAGCTGCAAACAGCCATCATCCCCTCACCCAGGCTGGCCAGGCACTCCAGTGGGGACCCCCACCCTGATCCAGGACACCCTTCAGGGCAAACCAGCCGGACCCACCCATGCACCACGCCTCTACCCTATATAGTAAAAGGGTAATATGCCTCCCAGCACCGGGATCAGCGGAGCCATGAGGCCTCCCAGCACCGGGATCAGCGTGACAGGGGGCAGCGCCCAAACCCCCTCATCGCCTTGCGGCTCAGTTCGTGACAGGGGAAGGCGCCCCAACCCCCTGATCAGCCCTGCTCTGTGCCTGATAGGGGGGAGCTCCCCAATCCCCCTCCCCATGGGCCCTGCTCTGTGTGTGACGGGGTAGAGCCATAACCTCCCCATCGGCCCTGCCCTGAGGGTGAGAGTGGCGGCGCCCCACCCCCCTGATCGGCCCTGCTCTGTGGGTGATAGAGGGTGGTGCCCCAACCCCCTGATGGGCCCTGCTCTGTGTGTGATGGGGGCAGCACCCCAACCCCCTGATTCGCCCTGCTCTGTGCGTGACAGGGTACAGAGCCCCAACCCCCCTGATGGGCCCTGCTCTCTGAGTGACAGGGGGCAGTGCCCCAACCCCCTGATTGGCCCTGCTCTGTGCATGACAGGGGGTGGCACCGCAACCTCCCCATCGACCCTGCCTTGAGTGTGACAGGGGACGGTGCTCCAACCCCCCAATCAGCCCTACCCTGAGCGTGACTGAGGGTGGCATCGCAACCTGCCGATCCTCCCTGATCTGTGCATGACAGGGGGCGGCGCCCCAACTCCCCAATCGGCCCTGCTCTGAGCCCGACCAGGGGCTGCACCTAGGGATTGGGTCTGCCCTCTGCCACCCAGGAGCAGGCCTAAGCCAGCAGGTCATTATCTCCCGAGGGGTCCCAGACTGCGAGAGGGCACAGGCTGGGCTGAGGGACCCCCCCTCCCCCCCGAGTGCACAAATTTTTGTGCACCAGGCCTCTAGTCCTATATAATAAAAGGCTAATATGCAATTGACCGAATGGCAGAACGACCATTTGCTATGACTCACACTGACCACCAGGGAGCAAACGCTCAATGAAGGAGCTTCCCCTGGTGGTCAGTGCACTCCCACAGGGTGAGCATCACTAAGCCAGAAGCCGGGCTCATGACTGGTGAGCATAGCATTGTGGCAGGAGCCTCTCCCGCCTCCACAGCAGCACTAAGGACCCCTCAGCGGACATCACCCAGAGGTCCTGGAATGCAAGAGGGCACAGGTCGGGCTGAGGTGCCGCCGCCCCCCCCCCCCCCCCCCCCGTGCACAAATGTTGTCCACTGGGCCTCTAATATATATTTTGAGAGGAAAGGAGAGGGAGAAAGAAATATCAATGATGAGAATCACTGATTGACTGCCTCCTGCATGCCCCCTGTTGGGGACCAGGCCTGTAACCCAGTGTGCTGTGCCAACACAGCCAAGAGTTCGGTGGGCCTGAGGTGGGGGGCGGGGCAGGGGGGGAGGGCAGTGGCAAAGGATTAAAGACAGACAAAGAGAATATAGCTGGGGCTTGGTAGATCTCCTGTGCCTGGATGAGGCCACAGAGAGGGATCCAGCCAGCAAGCTGAGGCTTTATTTAATAGTCAGAGAAAAACAAGGTAGTGGTCAACATAGTTACAATGTTCTTGTGAGTTTCACTTGTTTTGGCAGCACTTGCTGCACCTCCCACAGTCCATTAGCTACCCAGGAAGGATCTAGGGAGCTTATAAGGTCAAGCTTAATTATGTTAAGAGGGCTCTGCCCTCTAAGCTGGGACTTGTTTGTGGCTCTGCCACAGGTAAATCCGAGGCTTAATTCTAGAGCTGCTCGCTACAATCCAGGATGTGCTCTAAGAATTCTGGTTCATAGGTTGAATTCTGTTCGACCACTGAGCCACATAGGCCAGGCCAGATCTTATATTTGAGAGCTTATTTCAAGTAATGTTAACAAGGGTGCTATTAGACTAGAGTGTGTCCAGAAGAAAGCACCAAAGGTACTTAAACCATGTCTCTGAGGGGAGTTGAAAAACCTGGTCACATTTTTCTCAAGGAGGAGAGAAAACACAGACAGATGAGGTATGGCTTTCAGGGCCTAACAAACTTCTGCAGAAGAAGTACCTTATTTTCCATGTGACTCCTATGGGCAGACCTAGGACCCGTAGTGCAAGCTATAGGAGGATAAGTGTTGAATGAGTCAGAATTTGACCATCTGAGCTGCCTCAGAGAGAGGCCCCCATCTCTGCACAGAGGTTATAGAGGGGGACGCAGCATCCAGCTAGACATTCATCTGATGACTTTTAAGTCTTTAGATTTAGAATTTCAGATTTGGAGTTTGATCAGCACTAATATCTATATACTAGAGGCCTGGTACACAAAATTCATGCACTGGAGGTGGAGGGCCCCTCAGCCTGACCTGCGCCTTCTCACAGTCCAGGACCCCTTAGGGGATGTCCAGCAGTCGAACATCCCTCTCGCAGCCTAGGACCCCTTGATCCTTACCGCCCGCCTGCTTGCTGCTCCTTACCGCTTGGCTCGCTGCTCCTTAATGCTGTGGTGCTGTTAGACTAGAGTATGTCCAGAAGAAAGCACCAAAGGTACTTAAACCATGTCTCTGAGGGGAGTTAAAAAACCTGGTCACGTTTCTATCAGGGATCCTCTCCCGCCACCGCCGCTGCGCTCACCAGCCATGAGCCCAGCTTCTGGCTGAGCAGAGCTCCCCCTGTGGGAGCACACTGACCACCAGGGGGCAGCTCCTGCATTGAGCTTCTGCCCCCTGGTGGTCAGTGTGCATCATAGCGACCAGTCGTTCTGGTCATTCCGCTGTAACAGTGGCTTATGCTTTTATTATATAGACTAGAGGCCCGGTGCACAAAAATTTGTGCACTCGGGGGGGAGGGGGGCCCCTCAGCCCGGCCTGTGCCCTCTCACAGTCTGGGACCCCTCGGGAGATAACGACCTGCTGGCTTAGGCCTGCTCCCGGGTGGCAGAGGGCAGACCCAATCCCTAGGTGCAGCCCCTGGTCGGGCTCAGAGCAGGGCCGATTGGGGAGTTGGGGCACCGCCCCCTGTCATGCACAGAGCAGGGCAGATTGGGAGGTTGTGATGCCACCCTCAGTCACACTCAGGGTAGGGCCGATTGGGGGGTTGTGGCGCCACCCCCTGTCACGCACAGAGCAGGGCCCATCAGGGGGGTTGGGGCTCCGTACCCTGTCACGCACAGAGCAGGGTCAATCAAGGGGTTGGGGAGCTCCCCCCTGTCATGCACAGAGCAGGGCCGATCAAGGGGTTGAGGAGCTCCGCCCTGTCACTCACAGAGTAGGGCCTATAGGGGAGTTGGGGCACCGCCCCCTGTCACACTCAGGCCAGGGCGGATCAGGGGGTTGAGGCGCCGCCCTCTATCACCCACAGAGCAGGGTCAATCAGGGTTGGGGCGCCGCCACTCTCACACTCAGGGCAGGGCCGATGGGGAGGTTATGGCTCTACCCCATCACACACAGAGCAGGGCCTGTGGGGGGGGGGGGGGTTGGGGCGCCGCCCTCTATCACCCACAGAGCAGGGCCAATCAGGTGTTTGGGGCACCGCTCTCTCACACTCAGGGCAGGGCCGATGGGGAGGTTATGGCTCTACCCCGTCACACACAGAGCAGGGCCCGTGTGTGTGTGTGGGGGGGGGGGTTGGGGTGCCACACCCTGTCACACACAGAGCCGCAGGGCGATCAGGGGGTTGGGGAGCTCCCCCCTATCAGGCACAGAGCAGGGCTTATCAGGGGGTTGGGTCGCCTTCCCCTGTCACACACAGAGCAAGGCAGATAGGGAGGTTGTGGCCCCGCCCCCTGTCACACACAGAGCCGCAGGGCGATCAGGGGGTTTGGGCGCTGCCCCCTGTCACGCTGATCCCGGTGCCAGGAGGCCTCTCAGCTCCGCTGATCCCGGTGCTGGGAGACATATTACCCTTTTACTATACAGGATAGAGGCCTGGTGCATGGGTGGGGCTGGCTGGTTTGCCCTGAAGGGTGTCCTGGATCAGGGTGGGGGTCCCCACTGGGGTGCCTGACCAGCCTGGGTGAGGGGATGATGGGTCTTTGCAGCTGGTCACACACCCTTCAGGGTGGGGGTCCCCACTGGGGTGTCTGGCCAGTCTGGGTGAGGGGCTGAGGGCTGTTTTCAGGCCGACTGAAGCTCCCAACTGCTCCTTTTTTTCTTTTTCTTTTTATTTATTCTGTGCCAGCTTTAGCTCTGGCTCCAGCTCTGAGGCTTCTGCTGCTGAAAGAAGTTATCTGGTTTGTTTGGGTTCTATAATCGAAACTCTGTATCAACTCCAGCTCTGAGATCCCGGCCTCGCTGAAAGCAGGTTTCTGGGGTTTTGTTTAGCTTCTATATTCGTTACAATGTTTCTTAAACTGCAGGCTCAGAGGCCAGCAAAGCAGGCGGGGAGCGTTGGTTTCCTCCGTCACTGAAGCAAGCAAGCCTCATGTTAGTTTCAAGCTGCCTGGCTGCCGGCCGCCATCTTGGCTGGCAGTTAATTTGCATATCTCGCTGATTAGCCAATGGGAAGGGTAGCGGTCGTATGCCAATTACCATGTTTCTCTTTTATTAGATAGGATATTTTTGTCTTATTGGTTTCCACAGCAGGGCCTATAATAAGAATTTTTTAGCTGTGTCCAAAGCCATTTTGGAATTGTGAGTTCTTTCTCTTGCAGGAGAAAATGCAGAAGTTTCCATGGACGTTTCCCTGGCTTACCGTGATGATATGTTTGCTGAATGGACTGAAATGGCCCATGAGAGAGTGCCTCGGAAACTCAAATGTATCTTCACATCCCCCAAGGTAGGATTCCTTGACGTCTAATTTGTTGGAGTTTTTTGTTTGTTTGTTTTTAAATATATTTTATTGATTTTTTACAGAAAGGAAGGGAGAGGGATAGAGAGTCAGAAACATCAATGAGAAAGAAACACTGATCAGCTGCCTCCTGCACACCCCCTACTGGGGATGTGCCCGCAACCAAGGTACATGCCCTTGACTGGAATCAAACCTGGGACCCTTCAGTCTGCAGGCCAACGCTCTATCCACTGAGCCAAACCAGTCAGGGCTGTAGTTTTTATTTGATTTCCAGTTATGTGGGAAGATATGCTTTACAATTAATAGATATGTTCCTTATTTCTTAGCATGCATAACCCACATTATCCTTTGTCTTAGTAGAGAAAAGGGCTGTGTAGATATTTCCTATCCCGGCAAAGGGGGAAAGAATAGAAGGAATGTCTATCTGAAGTGATTTAGTTGTTTCTCTAAAATACCTCCATAAAAATAAATTCCTCATTCTTTGGTTAATAGCTGAATGTATCTGAAGAACATTGCTAAATTACTTTGATATATAAGAATCTTGATATTGGAGTAGTGCTGAGTCTACTTCTCTTTTTCTTAGGCTTCTCTTTGCTGTCAAAGTTCATGTAGGTACGAAGACTAAAAATCCCAGTGACCACAGACAGAAAGACAACCTCAGTCTTCTAACCTGTCTTTAAGACACTCTCTTCTCTGGTTTTTCCAGGAGGACTCAGTCAACCACCCATGGGAGGGAGATTACTATCCTGCATTGAAAATATGGAAACATTTTCTTTGGGGCAAAGGCCCAAAGATTGATTCAATGACCTCCAGGGATAGTGGGGTTTCATGATTAAAGGACCAAATCAAAGTGAGCTGGAGGCCCTTTAAAAAGCCAAGTGCTGCCCTTACACATGCCTCCATGACATTCTGGCCCCTCACCCTTACTGACCCCTCTGCTCTTAAAAGTCTCTGTGAAGGTGAAATGGGGCCATAATTACTGTTACTCATGGTTACCCACAGTTCCCAAGGGTGCTGGCGTGGTGCACCATCAATGACAGGTGATCTCTGATGGTCCTTTAGGTACAGAAAGGGTCTCGTTTTCTTTGTGTGAGTGGATGAGAGGCCAAACTTAGTGAGAGCACATTGTTGAGTATGTCATTTGTCACACGGCGTCTCCAGGTCAATTGCTCCTGAAGGATTTGGATAGCTTTGTAATACCCACTCCATTGTTTGGTTTCGTTCCTTTCCTCTCCTAGCATTGGCCTTTTGCTGTTGCCGGTAACTATGGCATTGGGATTCCCTGTGGAATGGTAAGAATGGCAGTTGAAGCCTCTGAGTACCATGCCCCTGCCCTGTCCGTCCCACCTTGAGGAGGAGTAAGACGGGGCAGGCTCACAGAATTAACATTAGTTAAAAACATGGATTTGGAGCAAAACATGTGTCTTCAGTTCCAGGCTGTATCACTTACTGTCTGCGTGACCTTAGGCAAACTTACTTACTCTGTCTGAGCTTCAGTTTTCCTTCTGCAAAATGGAATAATAATGCCTGCTATGGGAGTCTTTATAAGGACTACATGGGATAGTGAACCTAAGCAGAATGACCTTATCATGTAACATGTCGTCTGGGACACATTTGAGAATGAAAGAGGATGTTAATCAGATGGGCCACTGGAACTCTCGTGGGCATAAGCACCTATTGGGGCACCTGACGCTTACTAAGTCTCTCTTCCGGGTTCCATACTAGAGCTACAGAAAGCATGATCTGAGGACTGGCAGCTTCACATCATCTGAGAGCTTGTAGGAAATGCAGATTCCCAGGTTACACCCCAAACCTAATGGATCAAAATCTCGGCATGCAGGAGCAAGGAATCTGTGTTTCAAGAGGATTTCAATTTCTTCTCTGAAGCTTGATAAAATTTGAGAGCCACTTCCCTAGACCAGTGGTCGGCAAACTGTGGCTCAGCAAACTGAGGCTAGCGAGCCACATGCAGTTCTTTGGCCCCTTGAGTGTGGCTCTTCCACAAAATACCGACTTCTGCGCATGGGCCACGAAGTTTCAATCGCACTGTACATGCGCACCCACGCGTGGTATTTTGTGGAAGAGCCACACTCAAGGGGCCAAGGAGCCGCATGTGGCTCGCGAGCCGCAGTTTGCCGACCACAGCCCTAGACCCTTTTGCTGAGTGCCAAATATAGTTCCACTTGCAACCAAAATAAAGCCATCTGGAATTGTGTGGGGAGGCCTTCAGGGGACAATCAGTGGGTAAAAATAAATGGTGGAGGGAAACTGGAGGTAGCAGGAGAGGGGACTCTCTAACATGTTCAGATCTTTGTGTGCAACAGAGAAAATTAATTAAAACCTTTCTAGCTGTTGCTGCAAGTTGCCTGCGTCTTTCAGAGGTGAGACTGGTTGGATATCTAATCTAAAGGATATAAAGCTTCGGGATATGGAATTTCATCCTCAGAAAAGGGAAAAGTCATTTCTCACCTCACTTGCCCACTTGCAGGGCACTGAGAAGCAGAGCGAGGGGGAGTCATTAAGAAGCCTGCAACTGTTCCTCTGTGTTGGCTGCTTAATTATCTTCAGGATGTGTTGATCCCTTTCAAGAAAGATATTAAACCTTGAAAAGTGTGAAGGAAAATGAGTCATCAAATCTGTGCTTTCTGATTGCAGTGAAATTTAGTTTTGAGTCTGAAGATTAAATGAGAAATTGCTGTAAAGGGTTTTAGTCCCTGATGGCTTGCGAAGTTAAAAAAAAAAAAGAAGTCAAGTTGCCACCTGCTGTAATTTGTCCTAATTAGTCAGTCTCATGCTGGAGTTGGCTGGAGCTGGGGGAGGGCTAAGGGGATGGGAGAAAATAAAGAGAGAGGGGGGATTGTCTGTCTTTCTAAATGTCCTAAATACTGGCAGAGGCATAACTTCAGTGTGTACGGAAAAGTCCCCAACAGGATGCAGTGTTTATCTTTGAGACAGGTAGGCTAGGCGAGGATCCCAGAATCCAGTGTATCCAATTTCTTTAACTTAGATAAATTTTTTTTTATTGATTTTTAGAGAGAGAGAAAGGAAGAGGTATAGAGAGAAAGAAACATCAATGAGAGAGGAACATCATCGGTCAGCTGCCTCCTGCACACCCTCTACTGGGAATTGAGCCTGCAACCCAGGCATGTGCCCTGACTGGGAATTAAACCATGACCTCCTGGTTCATAGGTTGACAGTCAACCACTGAGCCCCAACGCCAAGGAAACGTAGATACATTTGTCTCATGGGTTGGTAGCATTAGCCTCTGTAGGGACAGGAAAGTGGAGGACACCTAGAGAACAATGAAAGGGGACTGGAACCCTGTAGATTATCTTATTTTACCTTCTTGTTTTACTTATGAGGAAAGTGAGGGCAAATGAGGTGGATGACCTTCACAAGGTACCCAGCAAGGAGCAAGGTCAGGTCATTGCCATCCTCATCACAGCACAATGCCTGTCCTCAGGCATGTCTGATGCAGTGTCATTCATTTCTTCCTGCTGTACTCAATTAATCTCTTCCCCATCGGAGCTGAAGGCTGGACTTGGAAGGCCCAGGCCCTCAACCCCATACTATTACTTTTGGGACCACGGCATTAGACTAATAGAGTTTTGTTCTCTTCCCCCTCAAACTCTCAATAAAACAAGACTCTGGAAACATATCAGAAAACCCTCCTTCCTGCTACCACAGGGGTCATCAACCTCCACAATGCAGTTTAATCTGAGGCTGAATCAGAGCCTATAGTGTTTTCAGTTGTTCCTGCAGAGGCTACTCCTAGCCCTGATTTGTACGTATAAGAGAGAGAAAGGAACAGGAAGGAGAGAAAGACAGCCTATACAGAAAGAATCATCCAGCCTGCAGATGAAGTCTAGGTAAAAAGCAGGATTCTTTCTGCAGAAGAATTTTTTTAATTCCATAAGCCAAGTCTAATCAACTGATAGTTCTGATAAGAGCCCCTCAAACCTTAAAGGATAAAAAATGATCATGATTGATTAGTGATGTCTGCTCTGAGTAGGGAGTGGAAGCAAATAAGCCAGATATTTGTCTGCTCTACCTCTACTATGTCATGTGTGTCTTTGGTCTCTATACAGAGGTTTGTGTTTATCGCACTCTAAGTTCTGACTCTCCAATATAGAACTCCGCAAGATCACAGAAGGGGCAGAAGTCTCTTCATACACTAGTTAGTCTGTAGACTCCTTATTATCTTCCTTCTGATTTTTCCACTAGACTTTATACTCTGACGAGTCACAAAAAATTATAGAAATTCTGAGAATTTAGGCTTGGGAACAACAAATTAGGTCTTCCCTATCATTTGATCAGAAAACATTGAAGCCGGCATATAAACCCAATATTGATGGCAGACACTCATCTCTTTTATTAGGAAAAAATCCCTGGCTGCGAAAGCTTACGCCTCCACATAGCCATATTTACCCCTTGGTAGGAACACAAAGCCAGGAGTCCTGGTGCGGGAGAGCAGAATTTAGTTTTCAAAACAACCTGTGCCCCTACCCTCCAACCTCCCACTGCCATGCTCTGGGCAATAACTCTTCAATTGCTTGGCAGGAAGGGTGAGAGGCTTCTTTTAAAAACTGGGATTAATTTTTGTTCAATTAAAATGTCTGCTCCTTCTGCCATCTTGCCTCTTGGGCAGTTTAGAAGCTTTGGAGATAGAAAATTCCAACTGGGGATCTCAAACTAATCCCATTACTACCTTTCATCCCTTTCTGTCTTCCCAAGTCTCAAGGGTTCCTGGAGTTGCTTCTTTTTCTGTCAAATCAATAAAACATAGATGTTCTCAGCTTCTTGCAGCTTCTCCTGCTGGCCAAAACCATGTAAGTAATTAGTCGTTACCTAAGACTGTGCGGAATGTCAGCAAGAGCTTCTTCCTGAACATTATGAAGTTGACTGTTCCGCAGAGCCCTACAGGTCTCCAGTGACAGGCTGCAAATAAAAAGCATGCAGTCCTGGTAGACCAGATGAACCTGATAGGAGGCTCAAATGAGAATTAAAACGCTGAGAAAAGCGCAAGGACATAGAAGAGATTTTTACCTAACATTTTAGGTTCTACCTCAAATGTGGCTAATGGCTGTTTGTTTTTTGAAGAGAAGAAGGGCAACCGGTGGATACCATGCCTCCAGTGTGCCCTATTATCGGTACCTCTAAGGAATACCTTTAAGCATTAGCTAGGAATACCTTTAAGAATTCGTACTAGGGCCCTAACTGGTTTGGCTCAGTGGATAGAGTGTAGGCCTGCGGACTGAAAGGTCCCAGGTTCGATTCCTTCCGGTCAAGGGCATGTACCTTGGTTGCAGGCACATCCCCAGTAGGGAGTGTGCAGGAGGCAGCTGGTTGATGTTTCCCTCTAATGGATGTTTCTCTCTATCCCTCTTCCTTCCTCTCTGTAAAAAATCAATAAAATATATATTTTTTTAAAAAGAATTCATGCTAGGAGGCAAAGGTAAGAGAATTCAGACAGTCTATTGGCAATAGTGACCCTGCCTCAAAACCTCTGTTCTTCTTCCAGACCCCAGAGCACGAGGGCCGTTACTATGAATGTGATGTCCTTCCTTTCATGGAAATCGGATCTGTGGCTCATAAGTACTACCTTTTGAACATCCGGCTGCCTGTGAATGAAAAGAAGAAAATCAACGTTGGGATTGGGGAGATAAAAGATATTCGGTTGGTGGTGAGTGTATCTAATTGGCCCAGGCAGTCTGCAGCACTAGAACACAGGCTAAGAACACTGGTTATGGAGCAAGTGCGTTGAAAGGGAGCTCTCATCTCACTCTTGGTATCTCCAAGCCTCTATTGTCTTACCTGAGAAATAAGAATAATAACACATACCCATGATGGCTGAGATCAGAAATTTGTGTGAGAGATTACAGAAATGGAAAATAAAGCGATTATTGTGCCCATTGAAGATGTGATAATGATTACTTTTGCATAATGAATAGCACCAAAATAAAAGCAATTTCTTTTACATGTTTCACCTTGCAAGCCTAAATGTCAACAGGAGCAGTGGTGTTTTAGGTTCTTTCCATTTACTTGTTTAATGGGAAAAATTAGAACATGGGGCAAGGGGACCATTTTTAAATCTAAAACATAGTTACACAAGAAATACATATATATTGTAGAGAATTAGAAAGCACAAGTAAACACATAGAATATAAAAATTACCTGTAATATCCTAGCATATAGAAATAACCACTATTGAGGTTTTGATTTCAGATTTCTTCTATACATATATTCATATATAATCCTTCATGTACAAAAAATAGGATCATACTCAATTGATACTTTTGTTCCTTGTTGTATTTTTTAAAAAATATATATTTATTGATTTCAGAGAGAAAAGGAGAGGAAGAGAGAGATAGAAAAATCAATGATGAGAAAGAATCGTTGGTCAGAGCCCACAACCCAGGCATGTGCCCTGACCGGGAATTGAACCATGGCCTCCTGGTTCATAGGTTGATACTCAACCACTGAGTCACACTGGCCGCCGGGCCTTGCTCTTTTAATTTAATGGCATTTTGTGAATATGTTAATGGTATATTGTGAATATTTTATATATACAGTGAATGAATATTAAATACACACACACACACACACACACACAATCACTCACATAGATTTACTTTAACACACTTTACCAATCTTAACTTGGGCATCTACGATTTCTCCAATTTTTCAATGAAAGCCATACAGAAAAATCTTTGATCATATTCTTAATTATCCCCTTCGTATAGAGTGGGTCCATTTTTATGCCTTCGGATTTATATTTCTACAATGCCTGAGAAGGGGTCAGGGAGAGTAGGCGACAGTATATGCTCTGAATGTGAAAGCTTTTGATCTGGACAGTTAAGCAGACAAGGTCTCCCCTTACTCCTCTCTGCTGGTAGAAAATAACACCAAGATATATTCACCTTCAAAATGTTGGCCTCTCTCTAGGGAATCCACCAAAATGGAGGCTTCACCAAGGTGTGGTTTGCCATGAAGACCTTCCTTACGCCCAGCATCTTCATCATTATGGTGTGGTATTGGAGGAGGATCACCATGATGTCCCGACCCCCGGTGCTTCTAGAAAAGTAAGGGTTGAGATGGGAGCACCCTGACGGAACACAGCATTGCATGATCTGATTGTCTGCTCCTGGTTTTGCGGGATCTAGGTCAAGTGGTCAGTGTAGTACTTGGTCTAGTGATTTGACCAGGAGCCATTCTGGACTTTTTTCTCCTCCAGCTTTCACATACAAATTATTATTAAATGCTGCAGGTTCCCTTTCGGCTCCTCGTTCTGTCCTTGCTCCTCAGCCCCATGGTCTGACTCAGATACTTCTCTCTGTTACAGGGGCTGAGCTGCCTTTCTCCTAACTAAGCCCAGTCCAGAAGGACAGCGCTCCTGTAGACGTATCCCTTTCTCCCATATTATTGACTTTTTCCTTTTTGCTGAAATCATTCCCACTAATGTACACATACTCTCTGTTACCTCTCATTCTTGAACAAAACTTTTCCTTTTCCCTTTTCCCCTTGAAGCCATCACACCATTTTTCTTTTTTCTTTTTTACAACAAAACTCCTCAAAAACATTTGTCTGTATATCTTCTCCTCCTAGTTTTTCTTAAGCCCATTTCACACACCACTCCCTCCCCCACCGCATGAGACTGGTCTAGGTAGGATCACCAGTGACCTTCACATTCCAAACCCAATGGTCATATCTCAGTCCTCACTTTTCTTGACCCATTATCAGCATTTGACATGAGTGATCACTGCCTTTTTTTTTTTTTTGAGCCTTTTCCACCCTTTTTGTGGTCATTCTCCTCCTTTGCTGACCATCACTCAGTCTCCGTTGCTCTTTCCAACCAAATTTCAAGTTCTTAGACTTTGGAGCCAGTCTTTGGAACTTTTCTCTTTATTAGCTGTGCTTAGTCCTTAGATGATCTCATCTAATCTCATGGTTCTAAAAATCACCTAAATGATGACTCTTAATTTATAATTGTCAATCTCAGCCTCTCCCAACTCTCGATTCAAATATTCCAACTGTTTATTCAACATCTTCACTTACACAGAAATGTAACACGCACAAAAAACAATGGCTATCCTCCCATTTCAAACCTGTTCCTCTCCCAGGCGTTCCCATCATGGGAAATGGCAACTCCACCCTGTCCCCTTTACTTCTGGTTTTTCACACTCCTCATCTAACCCACCAAGAAATCTCACCATTTTCATTGCTACTACCCTAATCTAACCCTCCATCATTTCTCACCTGGTTTATTTGAAATAGCCTCTCAACTGTTCTCCTTGCTTCCACCATTTTCCTCCCTATAATCTGTTCACACTGCAGCCAGATTCCCAAGTGTAAATCAGATCATGTCACTCCTCTGCTCAAAGCTCTCAATTGGCTTTGCACCTCCTTTGCCCTAGCCTATAAAGCCCTGGACTCTTACTACCTCTGATTTTATCTCTTATCCTCTTCATCACCTACCATCCCTTTGATAGTGCTCAAACATGCCTAACCCCAGGACCTTTGCACTTGCCGTTCTCATTATCTGAGATGCTCTTATCCAGATAGATCTGTGGCTCAATTCTCATTTCCTTCAGGCCCTGCTCTTATGCATCTTATCTTAAAGGCTTTTCCTGCCCATCATATATAAATAGCACTACTCTCCATTCTCCCACCTTGCTTTATTTTTCTTTATAACAATCATTCTCTATTTACTATCTTTCCTCTTATATCCCTCCTCTAACCCCATCTGAATGCAGGTATCACAAGAGTGGGATCTTTGTTTTGCTATCTATTACATCCCTAGTGTCTAGAATAGTGACTGGTACATAGAAGGAATTCAATAAATACGAATTTGTTGAATGAATGGATGAATGAAAGAACTATGTCACTCCATTGTTCAACCTTTTTTATTGGTTCAGTTCTTTCAGGATAAATTGCAAATTCTTTAATGAGGTATTCAAGTTTCCTCATGAGTTCACCCCTTTTCACTTCTCTGGTATCATGTCCTGACATTTCCTGATAAGTGTCTCATGCAGATCCCCAAATGCTCAGGCTGTTGCAGGCTGCTGTGCCTCATCCACACATTTCCCTCTGCTTGGAATGCCCTTCCACCTCCTTATCCTTGACTCACAACTCACCTCAATTTCTGTCAAAGTTAGAGGTCCCAGTAGCAGCCTGTGCACACACTTCTATCATACCGCTTATCACACTTTGTCTCTTTATCTGGCTGAGGCACTAAACATATTTCCAGGAATGGAAGAACTGGTCATATTTATTTAGGTATTTATAGCCCTAACAAAATGCCCAGTGCATAATCTGTGCTTAATAAACATATGTATTTCATGAATAATGAATGAAAATAGGAATAAATCAGTGACTCAATGAATAATTTGATAGAGAAATGGCAATTAATAGTGTGATGGGGGAAGCAAAATAAACACTAAACAAGCCATTAAAAGAATGTGCATTTCATATTGTTTGGAGTCACTTATTATCGAAACGAATATGCTCATATAATTCATAGTTGCTGAGGAAAGCATTATAACAATGAATATTCTTAGAGATCAAGTTAGTGATAACCTGAATAGATAAGAGAGGATCATTATATTCAAGGAGATCTGATTAAGGAGGCAAGGGAGGGTAAAAACATTTTAGGAAGCTTTTAATCTGAGCTGGTACCAAAATAAAATTCCAGGGATAAAGGAGGTTAGGTTCAGTGATCTAGAAAGGTTAAGGTAACACTCCTTCATTCTGCAGTGGTACCACAAAAAAAAGGCATTTTGTATCTCTGTGTAGAAACTTACTCTGAGAGCTAAGAAAATTGGTCATATGGCTTCATTCCCAATAAGTAACATCTCGTTCCCCAAAACTGGCTTCTGACGTTTGAAGATCTGCTTCCCAAATTGATCAAATCATTTTCCTGATATGTTCTTGCCATCAGAGTCATCTTTGCTCTTGGGATTTCCATGACTTTTATCAATATCCCAGTGGAATGGTTTTCCATTGGGTTTGACTGGACCTGGATGCTACTGTTTGGTGATATTCGGCAGGGCATCTTCTATGCAATGCTTCTCTCCTTTTGGATCATCTTCTGTGGCGAACACATGATGGTAAGAGTCAGAACCTCTCGGGGAAGGGACAGTGGCTATGGCAGAATAAATTAGTGGCTACAGGAGTGAGTTCTGAGATCAGGCTCTCGGTTCCAATTTCACCACTGGTTAGCTGAGTGGCCTCAGGCACGTGGCTTAATCACTCTGAATCTCAAGTTCCTCATCTATAAACTGGGATTTGTGTATAGGGTTTTTGTGAGATGTAAATGTAACATACTTAGCAGGGAGTAAACACACAAAGATTAGCGATTATTATTATTTCTTGTCCTTTGGCTTCTGCTCTGCTTATCCCCAGGACCAACATCACCACCAAAGAATGTAGTGTAGGCCCAGTTCTTTCCAGCTGGCAATTTGTCCAGGTGGCCTAGTAACCCCTCTTACCCGGGAACGCTGACCTCCCTGGTCAGTTTGCACAGACACCAAATCGTATTTCAAGAGGAATTGACGGTACCATGGATAAAAATAAAGAATGGTGCCGTCAGCACGTTGTGGTTAAAATGACAGGCCAGCTGGAGCTTGGGCCCCAGGTCAAGCACATGGACTTCGTGGTTGGGTGGGCTGTTTGTGAATTCCATGACGGTTTGATCATTGCTTCCGAAGCCGTGCAGCCCTTCCAGGAGAACAGTGAGAGGAGAGAAAGGCTTTGCCTCCTGCCAGGGGAGGCATGAGGGTTCGCCAGCAGTGACACATGGAGAACGAGCCCTCAGCAGCAGGGACAGTGAGTGCAGTGGGCTCAGGGGCAGCGGCCGGACAGTCTGCCGGGGTGCACTTCCCAGAGTGAATTGGTGTGGACTGTCCCGCCGGGATCCCAGCCTGGATGTAAACTATGTCTTTTGCCTTTCTCTATTTTCTCACTTTACTCGCCTTTATTTTCTTTGGTTTTTGTGAAATTGTTTTAATGAAGTATATTTTTTAAACTTTATTTTATTGTTTAAAGTATTACAGATAGTAGTACATATGTCTCCTTTTTTCCCCCCCCATTGACCTTCCCCCGGCCTCCCCTACCCCCCAGTGTCTTGTGTCCATTGGTTATGCCCATATGCATGCATACAAGTCCTTCGGTTGATCTCTTACCTCCCCCACCCCAACACTCCCCGGCCACCCCCATTTATTTTTTGTCTTTTAGTATCTATGTACATGTATTATCAAGAGGAACCATTCCTGTTTTGAATAAAGACAGGAGAAACATGGATTTATTTTCCTAACTTTGAGACCTCTTACATTTGACATAGTTGAATACCTTAGAGCCTTTATTCAGTCCTCTGGGGACCACCCCACCTTATCAAACACAAAGAATAAGTCACATAGGAATTTAATTCTAAATGATTTAACCTATAAGGCCTTTCTTTGTGTTCCTGTAGCACCCTGTTGTTATTACTATGAGAGTTTTAGGAACAGATTTTGGTCTCACCCATTCTCAAAAGCCTAGAGTCTGACACAATGTTTGATACACAGCAGGTTGTCAGCAAGGATTGTTCGAATGACTGACTCACCGATAGAATTGTTTTGCTCTCCCCATCTTTATCTCATTTCTCCACTTGGCTTTCATCAGGATCAGCATGAGCGGAATCACATAGCAGGGTATTGGAAGCAAGTCGGACCAATCGCTGTTGGCTCTTTCTGCCTCTTCATATTTGACATGTGTGAGAGGTGAGCAGATGCCTATGGGACTCTGGGCTGAAATGCACACCAGCATGTCCACTGCCCACTCTTCAGGAGGAGTTTTCAAAAGGGAGAAGGGTAGTTGGGAGCCTGTGGTCACATCCTCAGATAGAGATTGGGATTAAATCAAAGGTAAAGCTCTTTATAGGTGCAAACAATTTGGGCTGATTATTCCTTTTTTAAAATTGTATTTTATTGATTTCAGAGAGGGGGGGAGAGGGGGAGAGATAGAAATATCAATGATGAGAGAGAATCATTGATCAGGTGCCTCCTGCACACTCCCTACTGGGGATCGAGCCCACAACCAGGGCACATGCCCTGATCATGGAATCAAACCGTGACCTCGTGGTTCCTAGGTTGAGGCTCAACCACTGGGCAGCACTGGCCGGATTGGGCCGATATTCTTCAAACTCTTTTTCTATTTAAGTCCTCTGTGACATTCTAAATACACCCTCTACCCCTCCAGCTGAAAAGCTAAGACTATATAGAAAATAAAGTGCCCCCTTTGCCTCTGTATTAATTGTTTCTTGCTTTTCCATCTCGTTTCTCTTTGTAGAGGGGTACAACTCACGAATCCCTTCTACAGTATCTGGACTACAGATGTTGGAACAGAGCTGGCTGTATCCTTCCTGGATGGTCTCGGGGTTTTATTTCTTCCCATAGCCATCTGATCCCCAAGATCATTTTCTAATGATGTTCTCCATATGTGCTCAGCCAGAGCTTTGATCCTTAGACTGAAGATAACGGCACAATTAAAGCAAATAATGAAGGAATTAATGCTTGCTTTCAAGCCAGGGTAAGAGCAGGCAAAATAAGGAGATTGCAGCATGTCCCTTGGTGGAAGCATCAGAATTGCTGGTTTTATTGCACCCTGTCTAAATTATCTATTCCACCCTTGTTTACTGCAGACCGAAACATGACTAGCTTTTCCCTGGAGCCACGGAGGTTCATTTCTGGGCTCCTTGTGGGAGAGCCAGTTTCTGAATTCCTCTGTGTGTGAGACTTCTTACAGTGACCTTGCTGTGCTGGCATACCATGCTGCTGCTATTCATTTCCCAGACCAAGCGGAGATAAGGCTAAGGTGATTAGTTCCAGAGGCGTTGCCCAAGGCCTCTGGTTGGTTGTATAAACTCTGCCGGAGTCATCTTCATGAAGCAGAAGTGACAGTATTAGCTTATCCCTTTTAGGATGCTGGATTTAAATATTTTATCTTCCTGAATAATGCGTTAAATCCTTGGGGAGAAAAAGACTCTCCTCTAGAGAGGGGAGAAAGGCTTGAGTTGTATTCTTTCCTGATGGATAATATCTTGTTATGTGCTGGCCATGATATTTATATTGTATTTATATTGGCTTCGGAATATCACAAGAAATCTGTGAGCACACTAAATCTGTGAGCGGCACCAAACGGGGAATATATATATATATATATATATATATATATATATATATATATACACACACACACACACACACACACACACACACACACACACTGAGTGGCCAGATTATTATGACCACCCCACCATCAGTACTTCATTGACACTTCCAAAAATACTGAATATTGAAAACTTCCTAAGCAAATACTCTCAAGGTTTTATTATTATTACTAGAGGCCCGGTGCACAAAAATTTGTGCACTCGGGGGGGAGGGGGGGTCCCTCAGCACGACCTGTGCCCTCTTGCAGTCTGGGACCCCTCGGGAGATAACGACCTGCTGGCTTAGGCCTGCTCCCGGGTGGCAGAGGGCAGACCCAATCCCTAGGTGCAGCCCCTGGTCGGGCTCAGAGCAGGGCCGATTGGGGTGTTGGGGCGCCGCCCCCTGTCATGCACAGAGCAGGGAGATTGGGAGGTTGTGATGCCACCCTCAGTCACACTCAGGGTAGGGCCGATTGGGGGGTTGGGACACCGCCCCCTGTCACACTCAAGGCAGGGTTGATGGGGAGGTTGCGGCGCCACCCCCTGTCACGCACAGAACAGGGTCAATCAAGGGGTTGGGGAGCTCCCCCCTGTCACACACAGAGCAGGGCCCATCAGGGGGTTGGGGAGCTCCCCCCGTCACTCACAGAGTAGGGTTGATAGGGGAGTTGGGGCACCGCACCCTGTCACACACAGAGCAGGGCAGATCAGGGGGTTGGGGCGCCGCCACTCTCACACTCAGGGCAGGGCCGATGGGGAGGTTATGGCTCTACCCGGTCACACACAGAGTAGGGCCCGTGCGGGTGGGGATTGGGGCGCCGCCCTCTATCACCCACAGAGCAGGGCCAATCAGGGGGTTGGGGCACCGCCACTCTCACACTCAGGGCAGGGCCGATGGGGAGGTTATGGCTCTACCCGGTCACACACAGAGCAGGGCCCATGGGGGGCGGGGGGAGGTTGGGGCGCCGCACCCTGTCAGGAGCAGAGCAGGGCGGATAGGGAGGTTGTGGCCCCGCCCTCTGTCACACACAGAGCCGCAGGGCGATCAGGGGGTTTGGGCGCTGTCCCCTGTCACGCTGATCCCGGTGCCAGGAGGCCTCGCAGCTCCGCTGACTCCGATGCTGGGAGACATATTACTCTTTTACTAAATAGGATTGAGGCCTGGTGCACAGGTGGGAGCCGGGTGGTTTGCCCTGAAGGGTGTCCTGGATCAGGGTGGGGGTCCCGCTTGGGTGCCTGGCCAGCCTGGGTGAGAGGCTAATGGCTGTTTGCCGCTGGTCACACACCATTCAAGGTGGGGGTCCCCACTGGGGTGCCTGGCCAGTCTGGGTGAGGGGCTGAGGGCTGTTTTCAGGCTGGCGGATGAGTGAAGCTCCCAACCGCTCCTTTTTTTCCTTTTTTTTTTTTTATTCTGGGCTTTAGCTCTGAGGCTTGGCTCCAGCTCTGATGCCTTGGCTGCTGAAAGCAGGTATCTGGTTTGTTCGGGTTCTATAATCAAAACACTGTTTCAACTCCAGCTCTGAGATCCCAGCTGGCTGAAAGCAGGTTTCTGGGGTTTTGTTTAGCTTCTATATTTGTAACAATGTTTCAGACTGCAAGCTCAGAGGCCGGCAGCGGCAGGCGGAGAACGTTGGCTTTCTCTGTCACTGAAGCAAGCAAGCCTCAGGTTCTCTTCAAGCTGCCTGGCTGCCGGCCGCCATCTTGGCTGACAGTTAATTTGCATATCACCCTGATTAGCCAATGGGAAGGGTAGCGGAGGTATGGCTAATTACCATGTTTCTCTTTTATTAGATAGGATTATTTGCATAACTAATTCACTTCATTGTACTGATGGGGTGATCATAATAATCTGGCCAGTCATAATAACCTGGCCACTCAGTTTGTGTGTGTGTGTGTGTGTGTGTATCTAATACACACACACACACACACACACAAACACACACACACACACACACTAGGGGCCCAGTGCATGAATTTGTGCACCTTGAAAGGAACTGTGGCCTGTGAGGCTGCAGTAGGCACAGGGGCGGATCTTGGCCCATCCTCCACACCCCTGCCTGGCCCCTCCTGCTGCAACCCCCTGTCCCTTGTCTACCAGCAGCCCCACTCCCACTACTGCCGCTCCCATGTGCTGATGCCACCGGTCCCGCTCTCACCCACCTGCTGACAGTGCGGAGCGATTGGGGCTGGCGCCAGCAGTGGGTGCGAGTGGCGTCTACTGCCCTGGTCTCCCCTCAGGAGCAGGGGGAGGTGGAGAAGCCCTCAGGGGCAATCAGGGCCAGCAGCAGCCGCCACTCGCACCCATTGATGACGCCGAGTGATTGGTACTGGCGCCAGGCACTGGCAGCGAGTGCAAATGGCGGCTCCGGTGCTGGTTGCGGGTGCAAGTGGGGCCGGCGCCAGCAGCAGGTGCAAGTGCCAGGCGGGACCACAGTGCGCAGGAGCAAAGAATTTTCAGTAACCACCAGAGGCTTGCCCCAATGACAGCGACTGGCACCCCACCTTGGTCTCACCTGCTCCACCATCCCACAGCGGCCAACACCCACCATGTTTCGCACACACCCCCTGGTGGTCAGCGCACGTCATTGCAATCGGTTGTTCTGCCATTCAGTCTATTTGCATATTAATTAGCCTTTTACTATATATATATATATATATATATATAATGTTACATCTACTCCAGCCCTTTTGTTCTATGATATGATGGCAATTTATGAAGGCAAATAATTATGTATTCCAGGGTACTATTGATTTTAGGAAAGAAGGAAAAGCTTCATTAAATATATTATTTAATGAAACATACATGCTGAATTCACACTTGTTAAACAGTTGTTAAATATGTAACTTGGGGTAGAGTTGTAGCAGAAAGGAATTAAAGATCAGGGCACCTGTCTCCCGAGCCAGCTCACTCTACCCCAAGCCTCAGTGGTTCTCAGACTGAACTTTAAAGATAGGTCTGAAAGTCGCCCTGCTTGGTCTGAAAGTATATTGCCACCCTCTCAACTCCCACCTTGGCCATGTGTCCTCCTGCTCCCTGTTCCATTTGACAGGATAGTTTTTGTGGTGGACAGGAGATTGCAAACAGAGCTTCACACCTGGTTTTACTTTAAGACCTTCATTCCCATGGCCAGCCTCCCTTAGCAGCTGCTGCACCCAACCCCACACCACCCGCTCCTGATCCCAGGGTATTTCAGTCTCCTTCCAAAAATCCAGAGTCTGGCCCAATGGTTCCAAACATGGTTATTCTTGGTGTCCTATCCCTTGGAAAATCTGATTCCATATACCTGCAGTGAGAGACCTGGGCTATCTGTATTTTAATTCCTCTGGTGATTTTAATGCAGCTGTCCACTTGATCAGTATTATGCAATCTACACCTAATATTTTAGTGTTTTTAAATTTATTGTGTATATGAACCTCCTGAGGATCTTGTTAAAAGGCAGATTCTGATTCAGAAGGTCTAGGGTGGGCCCTAGAGTCTGCATTTTTAACAAGGGAAGCTTTGCTTCTCTTATTTGGCTTAGAAAGCAATTTGGAATGTTTCTCTCTTTGCTAGATTTGTGGCAGAAAACCTGTGTCACTGACCTTAGAACCAGGTTTTAATATTTTATACCCCTGAAAACTACCTACATATTTGGGGAGAAAAGGTATTACCAGTGGAGTGGGAGAAGGGCTTGGGTGCTTGCCTCCCTGCTGTTTCCTTCACCGAACACCATCAGATGGCCTTCATCATCGTGGCTGGGATCTGCCTCTGCCTGTACTTCCTGTTTCTGTGCTTCATGGTATTTCAGGTGTTTCGGAACATCAATGGGAAGCAGTCCAGCCTGCCAGCCATGAGCAAAGTCCGGCGGCTGCACTATGAGGTGAGCAGGTCTCCTGGCTCATTCAGGAAATTGTACTCAGTATCCCCTGCTTGCTGTTTAAACACACACACACACACACACACACACACACACACACACACACGCACACACACACCCCACCCCACCCCACCCTACACCTGGAGATTGGAAGCCTTTATTTCAAATACACATACACATTGAGAGATTTATGTGTACTAGAGGATCTCTGGGAAAAATAAGAGGCTAAATCCTACGCCGAGAGGCATGTAGCTGGACTATCTAAATTTTGGAGTTTTCTGAGGGTATAAATGTATTTCTGTCCCCAGTGAGGAGTAAACTTGTCCCACAGGTTCTTCGGCTTTGGGGTGGAACGTAGGTACATGCTCGGTGGGAGATTTGAGTTTGATAGACTTGGGATTTGACTTGGGGTGAGGCATTAGTTAAGGTTCCCTGGCTGAGAATCAGCCTTAAGACTGGGTGGGGTTCAGCCAAGGTGATCTGATTTTCAGACTCAAGGAAGCCACAGTTCCCCCTGAAATACCCAGCAGGTGCTCAGATAGAGTTCAGTGATCTCTGTTTATAGATTATGTGCCTCATTCAAGAGAAACACTCAAATCTCTAATGTGGGTAACACGTTCTTGATTTCTCAAGGATCCCTTTGGGCTCACGCCCAAGTGGTTGAGCTTAGAAACATGGACCTAATTCCTCTCTGAAGAGAGAAACAGAAACGGCAGGACCACAGTGTTCCCATATGCAGTATATCTGTAGAGGTGTCCCTTCCCAAAACACAGGTTCCCTTCAACCCTGCTCTCAGAAACCAGAGGCACTTCTAAAGCTTTGCCTGTCTCTAGAGCTAGAGTGACACATGAAAAAACTCAACCACGTCCACTTGATGTTGATTAATATGCACATTTCTTTTTGTTCACTGGAGCAGAATTTTATTTCCACTGCAAAAAAAAACAACAACTTGGATTTGGTAACTTTGAACCCTTGCAGAGAAGCATAACCAGCTTAGCAGGGAAATTAGCAGCCTCATGATGTGCTGTGAATATAATTTCCCAGGCTCTGGTATTACTGTTTCATGAGAGATAAGCACATACGACATATTTGGCCCAAGACATTTTTTTTCCCTCTGCAGGAGAAAGGTTACTATGTGAAATTATTTCACTATCACTCTTAGGGATTTGGTTTTATAGATTTCTTTAAAATTCGCTTTTTAGAGATTTATATATTGATATAAGGGTTGATGGTAGCTGATGGAATGTTAAACTACTCTTTCTCTCTCCTAATAGGGGCTGATTTTCAGGTTCAAATTCCTCATGCTTATCACCTTGGCCTGTGCTGCCATGACCATCATCTTCTTCATTGTTAGTCAGGTAAGTGGACCCTGAGAGGTCAGGGTGAGACTGTCCCTGGAGAGGCCCTTCTACTCTGCACAGAGAATTCTGCAGAGCTACTGGGAAAGGAGCAGGGAAGCTCTCACGCTGCGCAGCAGAGCAAGCCATGTTTTCTAGGCTTCTTTCTGGGTCTTGTCATTATCCAGCCAGAAGTGGACTGAATTTTCCCTTTCAGTACAGGGGGAGGAACAATTGCTAAGTAAATTAACAGCCTGCAGCCATATTGAAGAGCCCTTGTTTCATTTACTTCAGAGAATAAACTTTTCAAGCCCTGTAGCAGAACACCAGCAAGCAAGTATTAATTTGATTTGATCCTTATCTAGCATTAGCGTAGATCCTTTTATAGGCCATCAGCCATTCTTTTTAATAATTCTATTGCCACTTAAACATGAAATGAAATTCAAAAGTCCCCTTATCTCTACTGGTTATTTCCAAATCTCAACATTTCGCTGTGCTTCAAAATCTTAATGTGAATGATTTTTAAATATTGGTATCTTGTTTTTGGAAGTTAATATTTACATCTAATTTATTATGTATCTGTCATTCATCTGAACTTCACAGAAATCCTATGGTAAGATTTGTTATCCTAGTTTGCTAGAATATGAAATCTAGTGGCTGTAGAGACATATCGTACCTAATCTTACCTAATAATAGACAAGCATGTAAATTGACCATCCCTCCACTATGCTCACCAGCCAATCAGGAGAGTATGCAAATTAACCCAACAAAGATGGCGGTTAATTTGCAAACATAGGCACAAAGTGGCAGAGCAGAGACTGAAGGCTCCGGCCAGAGCAGTGAAGACTGAAGGCTCTGGCCAGAGCAAAGACCTGGGTCCCGGGTGCCAGAGGAAAACCTGTGCTGGCAGCCAGGGGAAGGGAAGGCCTATTGCATGAATCTCTTCGTGCAACGGGCCTCTAGTCCTATTTATAATGTTTTCCACTTGGGTGGGACTATGGATGGATTACTTAAAAGTTCTAGGTTCAATTTTCTTATCTGTCAAATGGATGTAATAATAGAACACTGTAGAAGGTGGCTATAAGGATCCCATGAACTAACGCTTGCAAAATGCAGGTGTTGTGAGCAGGCAGGCATGCCTTATGAATAGCAAAAAGTGTGAATGTTGTGCTAAAGGACCTAGACTAAGTTAGGGACCAGAACCCAGACTTTTGGACTATTCTTTTTTTAACCAGCTCCTCTGCCATGCCTGTATTTGGCCAAAATTGAAAATGTTAGGCATGCTCACAGAGCCTTAGGGCAAGACTTGCCCCGTTCTGCTAGCAATTTTCCTTCCAGTACAGGGGCTCCTAACTTTTTGTGCCATGAACCCCTTGGGTACACTGGTGAAAGCTATGGATCTCTTCTTTGAATGTTTTTAAATGAGTAAACTAAAAAAGCTTTGATTTTCAAAGGGAATCAGATAGATAGATGATATATATATGCAACGATACATAACTATAAGTGTAATTGATATGAAAATATGATTTCTATGGGTAACAAAATTATAGGCAGTGCTTCTATTATGGGGGTTTGTTTTCTCTAGTCATAATGGAAAGAAACAGTAACTTTCAATTAGAGACTGGTGAAAACAAAGATAGAATATTTTTCTCATTTCAATTCACGTACCCTTTGAATTCCATTAAGGACACCAAGTGAGGAGTCCCTAGAGTTCTGTTGGCCATGCCCACTGGGCAGTGTTAGTGTTGCTCCCGAAGGCTGAAGTAAATGTGGGGGGAAATCACAAATACATACATATATATCTTCATAAGATCTGTTCACCACATCTGCTGTGACCTACAACAGTGCTGTGCTTGTATCAGACTGTTTGTTTATAAAACCTTGGAAACTTCATTCTCCACTCCTGATGCAGTAAAAATATTTCAAATTCTGAATGAGTTTTTTATTCACCTAACTGAGGCTCAAACAAGTTGTGTGGGAGGCCCGACTTATCCCTTGGCTGAGTCCCTCGTGTGACCAAAATGCTTTGCAGCCCTGCAGTGCCTTGGTCATGTGCTTGTTAATACAGCCAGTTCTGCCAGACTTTGAGAGCAGCGTGCACCGCTTGGAGATCCGGAACCTCACGTAAGATGAGCTGAGAAATAAAAGGCAGTACCAAGATATGCTCCCAGGACAGGCACATTTGGTTCTTACACGTGCTCCTGCCACTTTAGAAAGCTGTAGTCAGTCTCCCACAGCCCCATCCCCCTTCCTCTCTTGTCTCTGCAGAGTCCCTGCTCCCAGAAGTCAAGAAGGGACATTGGGCGGATGTTTAAGGTGGTTATATGTTGTCCGAATTTAACCTTGTACATGTTTAATGACTGCACCTTTTTAGAGCAAAGGAGGTCAGTCTTCCAAGGAGCAGAGTCTGTGGCTTTTCTCTTAAGAAAAAGATTAATATTCCATTGCCCCAGTATTTTCTAACACAGCTCCAGCCTGTGGCTGGCTTTTTATATCTGCTGTGACAGTCGGTCCAGAGTGGATTTGAACTCTAAGGGGGTAGCAATGAGGTCTTTTGGATTCCATTAGCTGCTCACATTCCTCCTGCTGGGTGGCTTTTTTATAAAGGTTTATTTATAGATTTAAGACGTTTTCAGGCGTAACTCTCAGTGTCCCAGGTACTGTATTAATATAGTGATCAGAGGATTTATTTTTTAATGTCATGTTGGAGTGTTTCAGCAATGAGCTCACCTGAAAGAAAATCTACTGGGTAACTTTTTGAAATAGATCCCAGCCTTAGGTAAAAGGAATGTATTAAAACTTCCATTATACACTTAGGCTTGCTGGGAGAGCTTGCATTTAAGCCCCTGAAATATAATGCGAGGGGTTCTCGCCAGGACATTGAAGCTGGAGGCCAGGAATGAAAGGCCGAGGGAAGCTGTGGAATGCAGTGACCTTGAGGCTTTGTAGCTGGGCACTGAGGTGCAGTCTTTTAACGCCTGCCATTTTAATGGCCTCCGTCCTAGCAACCGAGAGATGGCACATCACAGTGTGGTATTTTAGCCCCTTCCCTCTGGAAAAGAAAGAGGCGTTCCATTTAGGGGTGACGAGCAGTAGGGAACAGAAGTGCAATGCAGGGGAGAAGGTCACCAACCTTCACTAAGGGAACCCCCAGGTGCCTGACATGCAGGTCAAGCCATGAGCAGCAAACTCCCAGAGAGCCTTTCCCCAGCTCTTCTTCTTTTGTTTGTGTGATCACTTCATTCTGTTACTTGCAGAGGAAATGTTTCCAGTAAGAGAGCCTGTGTCTGGGATTTGGAAATCTTGTTGTGAAGTGGAATGCTGGTTGTCAAGACTACTGGGTGTAAAAGGATTTGACCTTCACTTGGCTCCAGGAGTATAATTGGGTGGTTTCACACAAAAGTAAATTGTTCAAATGTTAAATCAGGAAAAGCAGGAACCTTTAGAAAGAGGATGTATACAGAGGGGAGATGATTTTCTCTTTTTGTTTTTTGTTGGGGCTACCTGATTTTTCTCCCCGAAAGTTAAAGCGGGGTGACTGTCACCTCTCTGCGTTGGCATTAATGAGATTTTTGGATTTACAAGGCTGCTCTGAGGAGGCTGCTGATTGTGGTGCATGGTGGTGGGAATGTGCTCAGAGCCCAGGATGGCTCAGGCATGAATAATTGAGGGAGGAAAGGGGAAAACACAATCGAGTCCCCAACAGCAGAGTGACACTGTATACAATTTACTTATGCAAATTCGATTCTTTGCCCTCAGCAGGAAATAACACATTTAGAGATTACAAATTAAGTAGTATGGACAATTCTGCAACTCTATCTTGACATGCATGTGTCTTGAAGCAAACGTGAGAGTTGCGCATGAAAATGCTATTTCCTCAGCTCCTGTGGGCCCCTCTGAGTATGAGCATGTCATTTGAGTGGTTCTGCTATAAAATTGTATTTTGCATATACATCCAATTTATTATATGCCATGCATTATATCTAGGATATATAGTGTATATGTTTTACTGTACAGAGTTGAATAAACACACCTGCGTGTACATATACTAATTAACCAGTGTGCATCATGGCCAATTAAGTGAATTTTCAAAAGAAATTTGACCTTATACAATAGTTGCCTCATAATTTAGCCTAAGAGACCCACCCCTGTTTAAGATAATATTCCTACTCTTGTGTTGTATAATGGCTAAGTAGATCTTCTTTTGGGGTCAGAGCCATGACTTTTCTGGCTGAGCAGTTTTAGGCAAAACATTCTGTGTCACAGTTTACCCAGGTGTTGAATAGAAATTTTAACCACCTATTTCATAGATTTGTTATTGAACCAAATACCTTCCATGTAAAATTCTTAGCATACTTCCTGACAAACCACTAGCATTAAATAAATGTTAACTATTATTATCCTTGCCATTATTTTTTAAAATCTTAGCTTTGCTAATACCTATTAACTATTTTTTTTAAATTGACCTACAAGGATGCAATAGGCATAAATGTTTCAATGAAATAACACTTATGACCTATTGACCTCTTATTTTTAAGTGCAATTATTGGGATTTGTGAAGGACTGCGGTATTTTCTTCTGACTCTTCAGTCAGATATTTCCTAAGCGTGACTGTTTCTATCCCCCTTTCCATGTTTCTGCACATCCCCATCCTTTTGCCCATATTCCTTCAACAAACATCTGTCTGTTGAGCACCATTGTGTACCAGGCACACAAGTGAGTATTTTTTTTAAAATCCATCATGCCAACCCCAGCAAGAATCAACTTCAGCAGAATTGTCAATCCTGAGTATTTCTAGCTTATGTCACAAGAAGTAGGCTCTCTGACAGGTCCCCTATCTTAATAGAGTAGAAGAGGATAAGAAGTGTTTGGCCCCGTTTTACCTGTACTTCTCCCAGCCTAGCCACCCCTCCTTAATCGCATAGAGAGGCGCTCCCTTTGCAAGGACAGCAGGTACATGTGGTATCTGCTACATGGTTCCAGAAACTATCTTAAGGCTTCCTCTCCCCTTCCATTAAAAAATTACCTTAAGTATCTCTAAGTACTGTGACTCTTATAAAGTTAGGCTATTCTGTACTTAAAAATAAGAAAAAGTGACATTTGGAGACCTTTCTACAAAGTAAGCCCTAAATAGCTTGAATGTTGGTGCATTGCTCCAAAATCAGTAATGGTTAAGAAATCCTTCTTTGGCCAAAACCTTCCTGAGCACGTCATATAAGATGAATTATTTCCCCCAAATAAATAAGAGTTCATGGTGGTGGTTTGTTTATGACTCACAGAAGTGAAAAAAAATTATGTATCGCAGCTCTTTGGCCCCTTCAGTGTGGCTCGCGAGCCGCAGTTTGCCAACCACTGCCCTAGTGGATTATGGGTTATAAAGAGGGCACCAAAGGAATATAGACCCACGGCTTCGAAAACAGGAGGTGAAATCAACCCGTTTGTTAGTCATTAATAGTTAGCTATGGCTTGCCCTCTTACACTTTAGCTCTTAGAAGAAGGGGCTCCTTAGGGATAGCTTATAAACCTCGCCTCATTAAACTAGCACAGGAATATATGTCCAGTACTTTCTTTTACTCCCATGTAAGATTTCCTGTGGCAGGCAGAAGTGGTCAAAATCATTTCATTGATCTCACAAATCACCAGTCATTCACCTCAACAGTTCTGTTGACAATTCTTCGTATAACACATATGTCATCAGACAGCTCTTAAAATAATTACCAAGTCATTAACATAGACAAAAGCAGCCTCAAAACATTCTTGCAGGATTGTAAAGCACATGAAAGCTCATAATTACTTTTGTGAGTGACCTACAAAGAGAGACAGGATATAAAAAAGATTTATTGAGTGTTTACTGCATGCCAGGAAATTTCTAGAAATATTTTTACTTAATTCTCCTCAATAACCCTGCAAGTTCTTCTTTTGCACTGATCGAAACTAAAGTCCAGAGTCTTCGTCTTTACTTCTCTTACATTAAACAGAGTACGTGGTGGAGGCTGGATTTGGATCCAGATCTCTGCGCGCTTCCCCTCACTGCCCCTCTAGGGAAAACTCCCTCTGAGGATTCACTTGCCTTCTCTGAACCCAAGGCACATCAGGGACTGAAGATATGGCAGTAAATGAACCAGAGCTGGCCTCTGTCTGCGGTCAGTTTACAGCGAGCTGGGAAGACATACCAGAGGAGGAGTTGTACTTGTGGATAAGGGTTAGGCTCAATCATAGTTTCTTTACATGAGGGATCATGGTGTGCTGCTGTTTTAGGAAGAGACCCTTCCCAGGTGATTCTGGTGTGCAGCCAAACGACAAGCAGACTATGTGCCTGACACATATAGTAAGCCCTTAATCAATCTGTTCAGAGGGTGATTCAGATTAAAAACTGGAGTCCTACATCGCCCTACACTTTTCCCACGTGTAGAAGAGACTTGGTTTTTGTGTTGGTTGTTCCCGTGTTGGTGATGTGTTTCTTCTCGGCTCTAATTCCGTGTCACTGTCTTCTCTCCACAGGTGACTGAAGGCCATTGGAAGTGGGGTGGTGTCACAGTCCAGGTGAACAGTGCCTTTTTCACAGGCATCTATGGGATGTGGAATCTGTACGTCTTTGCTTTGATGTTCCTATATGCACCATCCCATAAGAACTACGGGGATGACCAGTCTAATGGTGAGTGCCAGACTCTTTAGTGTAATTTTATTTAGGATAAGTAGGCTTCTGTCTCTACAAGATTTAAGGCTAGCAAAGGCTCTGGGTTTCCCAAACTTTCCCTCCTCTGAGTGAGAGTGAGCACCCAAAGGACTGCAGAACCATAAGACAAAAAGCCAGCACAAGGCAAATACTTCTTTAAGTTCTCATTTTCAAAAATACCTTGAAAATACATTGGGAATATTATATTCTAGTCTAAAACATGTCCCAGTGTTAGTACAAAAATTAAATTTGCTTTCCTCAATTTTTTATTTTTTGCAAAATTGACTGTTGAAAAGTATACCACATTCACTCTTCTGGTATGAGAAGCGTGATCTTAAGATATCTGGTGGAGTGGGACTGGGCTCTGGGTGTTGAAGAGGGAGCTGGCTTCATTTTTCGCCTGCTCACTTTTTCTGTAAGGCTGTTGACATGTGTCCAAACTAATGGCCATTCACCAGACCCCACACCCTGTCCCTCCTTAAGTGCTGGTGTTGCCATCTCAGATGTTGATGCTGCCAGAGCCTTAGAGAACTTAGCCAGTCTGGTCTTTTACAGATGAGAAAACTGGGGCCCATAGAAGGGAGGGGCTTGCCTGAGGTTTCTCTAGCAGCCACGGCAGAAACAAATGAATATTGCTGTCTATGGCAGAGCAGTTAACTTGGAATTCTTGGCCTGGTACACATCTGTCCTGATAGCTCATTTTTCTTGGGATGCTTGATTTATTGTTTCATTCCACCCTTATTCTTTCATCTCTTTTCCCCACTTGCTTTACCCAAGCCACGTACTTGCTATTTCCCAAATATAAGAAGCTCTTCCTCAAATCAGAACCAGTACCCTCCACTCTGCGCCAGAGCAGAGACCAGGGTTCAAGGTCTGCCTGTCCACCATGACACCAGGGGTTGGCCTTGCTCATAGGAAGTGCTCAGTGAGTGTGTGGTGAATGAATAGATTTATATCCTGCCTTCATCTGGGCATAACAAAACCCTACCTATCTCTTAGGCTTATTCAAAATGCTTCTTCCTTCTTGAAACCTTTTCTTGATCACACCAGTTGGAGTTCAGCAAATTAGATTCAGTAGAATACTGTTGCTGTGGGATGTTAATAGTCAAATACGTTTGATAATCATTGGGTTTTTAATCAGCATCAATGGGGTTTTTACTAAAAGACATCTTAATGCCTTTAGCACATTAATACGTACTGTAAGTCATTTAAAATGGGCGGGGGGGTAACAGCATTTCCCCAAGTGATTACATCATTTGGTCCTGGAACCCTAATTCTAGGCAGTGTATCTTCCGGAACCGGCGTCCTAGGGAAGAGGTCTGGGGAACAAGGTTACGCTTCTCACACGACACTCGCTGTGCAGCTGTGCATGAGCTCGCCTGGCCCTTCTCACTCCTGTTGGAACACTAACTCCTTAAGGGCGAGGACTGGTTAAGGTGCTTTGAAAATGTCGAGTGAATTAATGCTTTAGAAATAAGAGTTCTGAATTAGCTTTCACATTTCACAGATGAGCGATCTTGAAAGTGGGGTTAAAGGAGGTGGATGATGACATGAGAAATGGGGCGAGGAGGGGAGGCCTCTGTGCTGAGGGTCAGCAGTAGAGGAATGGTCTCAACCAGCATCTGTCTCCGCACTACACCGCCACTCTGTGCAAGAGCATCCTAGACCTCAGGCCTGCCTTCCTTCTTGGTCCTCGACTTCATGTCACACTCAGTATCAGGTTTTCCTTTGGCCGTGGGTCCTGGGCAAGAATAAAGACTTTAAAAAAAAATTATTGTTGTCACTCTTACAGATGTCCCCCATTTCCCTCCTCTTTGCCCACCTCCACCCAGCTCCCGCCCACCCCCCTCTCCTAGTCTTCACCGCACTGTTGTCTGTGTCCATGGATATGAATATATGTTCTTTGGCTAATCTCTTCACCTTCTTTTACCCAGACCCTCCCACACCCGTCCCCTTTGACATTCGTCAAGTCTGTGCCATGAATCCATGCCTCTGGTTCTATTTGGTTCATCAGTACCTTTCGACTTACCTGCCCAGCTGCCCAACTCTGGGTTTGATTGACTTCCTCTCTAGACAGCTTGGGAGCTAGGCAGCATTCACTTCCTGCAGCTTCCTTTCCACTGCGAGCAACTGTTTTACTCTATGCATGGCCTGTGGAAGCTGCAGCCTCTCCAACAGGGGGCCTCCACAGCGCCCGCAGAAAGGCATTCTGGGCTTGTGAACAAGAATCTTGATTTCATTTCATGGACATCCTGTTGGACTTTGGCACAAAGCACATGGACCTGTTCTTAACTTGAGAGAATATTAAGCAGGAATCCAAAAGATGGAGCTCCTGCCTTCCCGGGGAATTCCACATAAAAGCAATGGCTGGCCGTCCCAGGATGTGGGGACGATCATTCGAATGGGTAGGAATTATGGAGTGCTGACCTGTGCTTCATGTACACACACTGTGCTGGTTGTTTTTGCTCTATGGCTGTTGGCAAACTGCTTCACTCCCCTGTGCATCACTTCTCCCGATTGTCAGTGATTTCCCGGAGTCTCATGGAACCATGAAATTCTATGGTTTTCTTTCTTCCTGATAGCAAGGAAGGGGCAGAGGAGCACCTCCTGTCATAAAGTCGCAGCCCAGGCGTGATTCTGTCACAGGTAAGGGGTCTCCAAACACCGGTGAGACTTTGCCCAGCTCTGGCACTCTCGGGCACATGGGAGGCCAGAGCTGGAGCCACCCCTGCAGAGACAGCGTGGCTGCCTGCCCCCTGCAGGGCCAGGTGGCTGAACTGCAGCCAGGTGTTAGGCAGCTCCCAGTAGGACTTCTTTCCCTGCAGGACGGCTGCCCTCCTGGGCTTGCAGCCTTGCAGCTGAGAATAGCACTTGATCTTTTTCTCATCATATGTTTGTTGTTTTGAAGACAGCTTGAACTGCAATTTCACAGAAAGCTCGAAAGCTAGTTCTCGGCCCTGGCCGAGGAGCTCAGTTGGTTAGAGTGTCATCCTGATACGCCAAGGTTGTGGGTTCGATCTCTGCTCGGGACACACATAAGAATCAACCACTGAATGCATAGAGTAGTGGAGCAACAAATCGATATTTCTCTCCCTCTCTCTCTCTCTCAAATCAATTTTTAAAAATATAAAAGCTAGTTCTCAAGAGGAGGTCACCTGCCCTGAATCTTTTACCAAGTGGTGTTTGGAAATGCTCATGGTTGTTTTAGATCGTCTGGGACGTGCCTCTGGCATTTAGTGACCGGGCTCTAGGTATGTTCGATGTCCTGCACTGAGCGAAGCAGTTCGTTGAATGAAGAACTGTCCTGCCTCTAATGTAATAGGGCCCCTGGTTGAGAAACATCCTCCAAGCAGTTTAGTAGAAAGACCCTTTTGGGACCCTGTCTGATCATAAACACAAAGGAGACACCATTTAGCAGGTCTGCAGTGGTGACATGATCAACTGTGACTTCAGGGCAGCCCTTGAGCCCTTGGCAGCTGGTGGCACCTTGTCCCGCATGGTGCTGTGTCTGTGCCCCTAGCAACTGGTGGCACCCTTGTCCCGCATGGTGCTGTGTCTGTGCCCCTGGCAGCTGGTGGCACCCTTGTCCCGCATCGTGCTGTGTCTGTGCCCCTGTCAGCGGGTGGCACCCTTGTCCCGCATCGTGCTGTGAGCTGTTCCCCTGGCAGCTGGTGGCACCCTTGTCCCGCATGATGCCGTGTCTGTGCCCCTGGCAGCTGGTGGCACCCTTGTCCCGCATGGTGCCGTGTCTGTGCCCCGGGCAGCGGGCGGCACCCTCGTCCCGCATGGTGCCGTGTCTGTGCCCCCGGCAGCGGGCGGCACCCTCGTCCCGCATGGTGCCGTGTCTGTGCCCCCGGCAGCGGGCGGCACCCTCGTCCCGCATGGTGCCGTGTCTGTGCCCCCGGCAGCGGGTGGCACCCTCGTCCCGCATGGTGCCGTGTCTGTGCCCCGGCAGCGGGCGGCACCCTTGTCCCGCATGGTGCCGTGTCTGTGCCCTGGCAGCGGGTGGCACCCTTGTCCCGCATGGTGCCGTGTCTGTGCCCCGGCAGCGGGTGGCACCTTGTCCCGCATGGTGCTGTGAGCTGAGCCGTTGGAAGGGGCTCTCCATGTTGGTTCTCTGATCATTTTTCTTCTCTGCTTTCACTTTTCATCTCCATCTGCCGCCAAGCCACACTCTGTAGCCTAGGAATTACGGTGTCTTTGCCAAGATTTTGGAGCTCCTTTGAAAGAGCTAGTTTGGAATGTTACATGGAAACCTGGAAAATGAACACTGAGGGTGATATACCGTAGTTTTAAATTCTCTGGATGGCATTTCTCCTCCCCCCACCCCAGCTTATTCATGCTCCTTCTCCTTTCTCATGGAAAGTTTTTATTTTTGAATTGGCTTGGACTGCTCTAACTACCCCTTGCTTTTATGGTCCAGAGCCAAAACTTCAGCTCTCTCTTGCTGTGGAGAATGAATCACAGGTGTGCCATGCTTCTTGCCTGCATGAGGTGGATCCTGGATAGGCCTCTGGAAAAAGATAGACCTCTGCCAAAGAAAGAACCTTTGAGAAGGGCTGTTTTGTTTGGGAGATGGAGAAGGATGCCAAGAAGTGACAAGAGGAAGTGGGAGCAGAGAGCATAGACGTTTGCTTCTCCCTTTTGGTCAAGGAATGGACAGAGGAACAAAGTGGACAGCAGGTGCAAGCGAGGGTCAGTTTCCAAAGAGCATTTTCTCTCTTATATTTGTTTGCCTTTTATTGCGTGGCTCCAGTGGCCCTTAGAAATGAACCACTGAGCACCTCAGTATCAGCACTGTGCTAGGTGAGATAAGGTGGTGTGATGTAAAGCCCACAGACAGTCCTTGTTCCCAGAGAGCTAGGCGTTTGGGATGGGAGACAAGACTTCCACGGCTGGCTCCTGAAACATGGGGTGCGGCAGGACAGCGCCCAGCCAGCACGTTCTCGTGTCTTCAGTGGCTGGTTGGTGCTGCAGGCACGTGGAGCTCTGACTTCCTTCTTGTTGGTTGACTTACCTCAGTGCAGTGGTAAGTCATGCATGGTTTTGCATATGTGTGCGCGCCTGTGTGCATGGATATGTTCATATCATCCTTTTATGTGTGTATATATACATAAATCTGCATGTATTTTTTTTTACTTTAACAAAGGTATTTTAGACCTCGTTCTTGCAAGGACCACTCACATTTTCTGCTCTGCTCTTGCTGCCTTTTCATTAAAATCGTTCTTTTTTCCTGTTCCCATACCAATCTGTGAGTCACTATGGATATCTTCCTAGGCGGAAACAGATTTCAGCTGATGCTGGTCAGCCCTTAGCTTGGAGGGATGGCACGGTCTCCCAGGGATAAGACATGAAGGCTCTATACACACAGCCAACCATCCCAACTCCCTGCCACCAATTCATGTGAGGAAAAGGCTGGTGCTGCTTAAGAAGTCCGACAATTCTTAATAACCACTTTCATTTTTTTATTCTTTCGTCTGGAGAATTCTTGTCAGAGGCTTTAAAAAAAAAAAGGAGAAACGGGATTCTGACTGGATGATGATGAAGGGACCAGGAGACACTCTAGTTGCCCACTGGTTTCTTTCTGTGTCTACTCACACTGAATGTCTTCTGTCTGACACCATCAGGCTGCCGGAACCACGGCAGCGGCCAAGTCCCAGGTCCTGGTGGCTGGCTACCCCGCTGTGGCCTTTTTACTTCCGGAAGCCTCTAAGGTCTCATGCTGCTGGGTTCACAGGGAAGGTGGCTTTGGCTTTCATTGCCTCAGTAAATGTTTGGTTTGAGTCATGAGGCTTCGACAGTGGCTGCCTTTTATGGAGGTCTTTCCTCTGGTTGCCTGTTAGATGACTCACCCTGGCCAGCCCGGCTTCTCCTTGATGTCTAGATGGAATTGGTCTTCCCACCAGGGCGGGACTCAGACTCTGACATGGGCCTCAACAGCCTTTTCCCACTCCCTAGTGACGATGGGAAAGAGGTGACAGGCAGGCCATCACCAGCCTCTCCAGCTTCGCCAGCCTCACTCCTCCTGCTCTGCTCTTTGTAGTCAGGCACTTTCTGCTCCTGCCTCTCTTGCCTACCAGTGGCCTGATCTTTCCTTACCCAGGCACCTAAAATTACATTTTCTGAGTCTTAGAATGGCTAGCACCCCACTATGATATAGAAGGTACCTCAGTCACCTGCTTGAAAGGACCTTTCTGCTTCCTAAAGGTATCAGTTGGGAAGGGCTGCTATAACAAATAGCAGCCTAGGTGGCTTAAATAACATAAATCTATTTTCTCGTGATTCTGGAGGCTCGAAGTTCAAGATCAAGTTATCGGCAGGGTTGTTTCTTCCAGGGCTTCTCTTGGCTTATAGGTCTTCTCTCTGTGTCTTCGCATGGTCTTCCCTCTGTGTGTGCCTCTATCCTAATCTCCTTTTCCTATAAAGACACTGGTCATATTGGATTAGGGCCCATCCCAATGCCTCACATTAACGTAATTACCTCCTTAAAGAACCTATGTCCGAATACAATTACATTCTGTGGTATTGAAGAATTAGGGCTTCAACGAATGATTATGGGGTATGGAATACAAGTCAGCCCACAACACTAGGATTTCACTCAAAACTTCTAGACTTTATTGTGTGCCCTCCTTGCAGTTGCCTGGTGTTGAGTGTCTGGAGGTGGGTAGGAAATACCACACCCCGAGCCTGGTATAGGCTATGTTTGATGATTGAAAGGGATTGAGAGTGTTGTGCCCAGATTTCAAAGTTCCCAAGACCTCCAGGGAGCCAGTCAGTCCGATGCAAAAGCAAGGAGTCATTTATTTCAAACCTAGGCTTGGCTCCCCTGCCACACTCACCGATGCAACGGTAAGCTCCAGTGGCCGAGAGAGAGAGAGAGAGAGAGAGAGAGAGAGAGAGAGAGAGAGACCTGATGGGACAGGGGGTTTTAAAGGGGGGTGGAGTGAGGGCAGGAGAGGGGACTGTGGGCCCCGCCGATTGGCCAGGCGCGAGTCGGTACAGGATGTGGTCATAGTGATGGCGTGCACTTCCCTTGATTATTATTGGTTAGTCCAGAGAAATCCTGGGTGTGGCTAGCAGCGGCTTCTTCCCGTGAGGAAGCACATGGCACCGTCCCAAAATGGAGGACCCAAGGCAAGATGGAGGGCACACATGGCTCTGTCCCAAGATGGAGGACCCAAGGCAAGATGGAGGGCGCAGTCCTTGCCCGTCTCCTGCTGCTGCCGCTCGAACTCGCCACAAGGCAGGATGGCCCTCCCGCACAGCACCCGCAGCTGGCCTGCAGGCAGACTGGGACTCCAGCGCGTCTGGGCGGCACAGGCCCAGCAAACGGGGGCGGCCGGTGGAGTGGCCCAGCTCTGGAGGAGCGGCATCCGCTCGGAGCAGGCCCGGCCATGGGGCCAGTGCACTGCAGCATGGCGGCCTCCCTGAGCTAGGGCACACGCCCCACTCCGCTGCCGCCGCTGCTGCACTGGGCCCGGTCAGGGGGGCAGCGGGCAGGTGGCAGCCCACGCCGGGCTCCCGCCGTGGGCCGGGGAGCCAATGCCCCCCCCATGGGGCCCAGCGGCCGGCCCACGCAGGCCCCGGGCCCCCCCCCCCGACCAGGCCCCAAGGGCCGCATGGACCCCCGGCCCCAGTGCGGGCAAGTGGGGAGCCGACCGCGGGGGAAGGGAGGGAAGAGCCAGGCGGTGAGGCCTTCCGCTCCCATGACCTCCCCCGCGGTCGGGCGCCGCCCGGCCCCACCCCTCGGCCCACCGCCGGCCACCACACAGCCAGTCCGGACACTCGGACCCGCTCCGGGGAGGCCAGGCCCTACGGCGGGCGCGGAGGGATTTCAGAGCCCAGCGGCCAGACTCCTCCTCCCGCACCGCCCGGAGAGGCGGGCGGCGTGCCTTTCAAGAGATGGCTGGACCCAGGATTCTGAACCCTGTCCCACCAAGACTACTATGCCTCATCCCCCCAGAGGAATCACAACAGCAGAGTCATCCCACGGCATACCTGTTTACTGTGGACCGAGCCATGCGGAGTGGAACAGGGAGGAGCTAGACTGGCCTGTACCAGACAAATCTTGGTGGTTGTTGTAATGAGCACTTACTATACCAGATCCTGTGCTGCATGTTCACATTCTTTAGAAAAGAAAAAAGAATATTGAGACCTACCATCCACTATTTTATTAACATGCAACATATAGGAAGGACGTAATCTGAGAGTAAACAACAGTCATGTGCATGGAAATAATTTTACTTTACAAATACTGTACTCACCTTGATTTTCTCATCCTGCTATGAACCAGGGACTTCTAGGGAGTTATCATTTGATAACTTAGCTTTGAAGGTGAATAGAAGGAAGTCAGTGAGGGACTAGGAAAAAATCCCACAGAAAAGAATGAAGTCAGTAATGTTACAGAAACAACCAAAGCTTTGGAGGTGGACACAGATGGATTGGAATCCTGGCTCTCAAGAAATAAATAGGAGCTCATGGTGTGTGACCTCCCTGGCCCCCATGTTTGGGTAACGGGGTGTTAATTTGTCTTAGTGGTTGTGAGGAAAGAATTAGGTGGCCCTTATTAATATTAGAAGACCACTGATCTCTTCCAGATTCTGTGAAACAATCTTAGAATTATTCTTCTTTTTACAAAAGTAGTCACAGATACACAAATAATTGTCATTTTTAAAAAGCTGCCTGTCTTTGAAAGCTGTGCTTACCATTATGTCATTATCGTTCCATTTATGTAGGTTTCTGGGTCTGTAGTATGCATGTCAGGCAGTTAGAATTAACCAGCAGCTACCTCTGGCCACGATACCAAAACTATGGGCCCATCAGTAGTCCTTTGAGATTAAATCCTGTGCCAGAGATCAGTCTCATTTCACAGAGGTTAGAAAGAAAGAAGCCTTTGTCTTATTAATTAGCAGAGATGAACTGACATCATAACCAGAGAAAGAGACTTATTGCAAACCAAAGAATTCTCTTCCTTCCATCATTTATTCTTTTTCCTTTTATTCTTCCCTCTCCCCCCTCACATTTTTGGAAGGGTTTTTTTGGTCTTGAAAGGGAAGAGTCTTCGAGTGTGTTTGTGCATGGTGCCGCAGAAGCCAAAAGAGGGAGAAGAACAGATGGAGTGAGACCTTGGCAGGAGTGGGGGACCCTGGAATATGGAGACACATGGAGGGATCCCCACTCCTGCCATGTTACTGCCACCTTCCCACATCCATTCCCTGCAGGGAAAGAGTTGGCCTTTGAGGTACAATACAACCACAGGTGAATCAGAGATCCACCAGCCAGAGGTGTGTAGATCCGGGTCCTCAGCCTAGCTCTGCTGGGAGCAGGCTGCATCCCATAGAGAAATTAATTGCCTACCTGAGCCGCAGTGTCTTCACATCTTATAAGGAAACACAGGGCACGCTAAGCCCCTACTGGTGCATATGGTAAATGCTCATACGTAACAGCTCTCTTTACGGTCAGTACACTGATACTTGGTGCTATAAATTGTCTTTCATCAGACACAAAAGAGCAAAATTAACGTCCTGAACAATCTATCCAAATTACTGTGTATATGTATTTCTGACTGTAACACATTGCATGTGAATTTATGCTTTGCTGGCAGTCTCACTGGCTGTTGGAAACTTGAATATTTACAGTGTCAGCATAGCCTAAAGGTTGAGCACTTGGATGCTGGAGTCTCATAGCTCCCCTTTGAATCTCTATGTATCAACTCGGGCCTTGGGCAAGGTGCTTAGCCTGTCTGTGCCTCACTTCCTTCATCAGCAGAATGGGAATGATGACAACAGCACCTCTGTCAAAGGGCTGGGAGGAAGATTAAGTGTATTGATATTTGTAAAGTGTTTAGAACAGTGTCAGGCACATCCTGTAATATAGGTACTTGTGAAATAAAGGAGCCCAAGTAATATTGGCTGTTTCTTCAAGTGATCTGTAGGATCAGATACATTTTCTAGGGCCTGCTAATTGGAATCACATTTTAAGCTTAAAGAATTCCCATCTTTGGTTCAAAACCTGAAGAAAAGTGCATCCTGGCATCTATTTCTAAGAAGTCTTCAATGAAAGGGATTCCTTGGGTAAACACTTGGAGATGCTAAGCGGTTTCCTGGGGTGGTCAGGACTCTTTCAAATGCTGAGGACTCTCAGACATGCAGATCCTGAAACTGGCTTTGAACTTTTGATGGCTCTCCCAGATATGCAAATTAAGAACTAGCTTTGACCAAGCACCCTGCAGGGCCACTGTGTGGGGTGACCAAAACAGTGGTGTTGTGTACAGAATCCTGGAGGTAGCAGAAAATTGAGTATATTTCTGGTCCTTTTTCCTTGAGAAGAAAACTCCTAATTGTTCTTAAAAGTACTATACGTAGTACCCTGCCCAGTCGGTTGGTAATAGGCAGGTCTTGTTTGCCTGCACATGGCATAGCCACTTTGTCAATTATTCACAACACGGGTGTGTGTGTCTGCCTTCCCATCGCAGGGAGGCTTAGCCCACAGCACAGCCTTCCTTCCTCGGCCCAGCTCCCGGCCCTGCTGTGTGTCTGTTCCATCACCTGGGGCAGTCACCTTCCTTCCACCCCAGTTTCCTCATCTGTGACGCTGGCATGATCAGCCTCGAGGGCTCTTGTGAGGATAAATACAATCAAGGATAAAGCACTGAGAATAGCGTCAGGCACCAAGTAAGCTCTCATTAATGTTAGTAATGACTACAAATTACATAAGCAGTAAGCTGACTCATCTCTCATTCATCTCTCTTCTCTGGGAGACAAAAGTGGATGAAATTACTGCCAAGTTTGAGTGAAAAGGTTGGGCGTGAGCCCTGGTGTTTGTGCCCAGGTTTTCGCTGTCAGCTCAGAATGTGAAAGGGCGGTGGTTATGGAGATGAACCAGCTTTCTTTTCCTTCCTCCTCCAACACATCTCACGCCCAAACCCCTGTTTCAGGTGATCTGAGGGTCCACAATGGGGAAGAACTCCAGCTCACCACCACTATCACCCACGTGGACGGACCCACCGAGATCTACAAGTTGACCCGCAAGGAGGCCCAGGAATAGATGGCGGCAGCCCCTGGCTGGGACTGTTCCCCACATCCCAGCCCTTCTGCCTGGAGTGTGGAGCATGCCAGCGATAGCTCACTGCGCGAACCAGCCCTCCACTGCTCCCGTGTCTTAGCTGTGGTTTCTTGGAACAGTGGCGTGGACGTTGTCACTTTACCTTCTGACCACAGCTCTTGGGGGAAGATTCCACAGCCACTAAGGCGTTTGTGTATAACAAAACCTCTGGTATGACACATTTTCTGTGATCATTGTTAATTAGTGATGTAGTAACATCTGTAGCAGGTGGTTAGTAAACCTCATGTGTTGGGGGTATACTCCTTGGGGGGATGATGTGGGCCAGATGGGGTCTAAATGGAGTGGAATATTTGACTTCTTTTCCTGTTTTAGATTCTAGGATAGGTTTTTAACATCCTTTGCAGTCCAAGAGAGGCTGATGTCATAGTTTCTCACTCCTAGTTCGTGACCACTTTTTTTTCCTATTTATATCACCAGGTAGCCTGTTGAGTTAATATTTAAGTTGTCAATAGACATGTGTCCCTCTTTTTTATGGCATACTATAAAATAACTGAATTTCGTGAGACGGTCTATTTCAGCTTTGGAACCAAATCTGTGTATCCAGTACTGACCGATCTGTTGGATGCGGGTTGGGTCTAAAAAGCTTTTTTTACCTCCTGCTTACAATGTGTTTCCTTTTGATAAGATGCTTCAAGCAGCCCCCAGAAGTGTAGATCGGATCAATGAAATAAACCTGTATGTATATGCATATATGTACATGCACATGTCATCCTCCTGCTCAGCCAGGACACACGCATGCAGATTCTTTTCCATGTCAAGTCCATGGGGTGGGGGAAGTGGCTTTATGAGAAATTAAAGTATTTTGCCATCAAATCAAAGTGTTTGGGGGCAGTATCTATTTTTGGAAATAGGATAACCTTTAGTACTGGTGGTTAACTTGCCTCGCTGTCATGTCTGGCAACAAGGGTGGGGAAAATGTGACATGATTTAGAAGCAGATTGCCCGCCCCACACACCTATTACCACTTCCATGAATAGCCTGTTTGATGGTGTTTTAACTCTGCCACTGGAGAGGCAGGCAACGGTATAACAGAGGGAAAGAGCCTGGATCTGAGGTGAGAAGGCAGTTTCCCATGGAAAGTCTGCCCTTTATGAGTGTGACCTTGTTGATGCCTCCTCACCCACCAACTGGCCTCCATAAACTTTGACTGCATCGCCGGGTTGCAGCACCTAGTAAGTCAGGTAACGTATATGGAAATGAATTTTAAATGCAAAGGCCATATGAATGTGCTCTTCCTGGAATCAAAAACAACTCCAGGAGCGTCCTGCTTTTCAGACACTGATGCCAAGAAGTCTGGGTCACATTCTAATTCATCCACTCAGCACCTACCATCCATCCCCGCCACCCCATCCCCTGATTTTGGCTAAAAGCACAGCAAGCAAGGGCAGAAGGAAATACCTTGGCTTTGGCTGTTCTCTCGGGCCTTTTCCTATCCTGGTAAACATCTGACAGTGTATGAATGAATTCACTCCACATCCACTTCTGATCATCCACGATGGTGCCAGGAATTAAAGGTAGCCCATGCCTCCCCATCTGGAAGGGGAGATGAACATCAACTTAAAACATGGCCAGGATCTCCAGGCCCAGAGGGAGCAGGGAGAGGTTCTCCCAAAGAAATGAGGAAAGGGCCCGAGATAGACCTTAAAAAAAAAAAAAGATTTTACTAGGGACAAAAGGCAAAGGGACCAGAAGTACAGGAATCATGGAGGAAGTGAAGATGGAGGCTGTTTAGATTCGTCTGCTCATCAGGCCTGCCTGGCACCAGGAGTGGAAGTAGCAGGAGGTAAACCTGTGCACCTGGGAGGCGGGAGGAGAAGGGTCGTCATGCTGTGGTGAGAGCCATAAGACAGCCTTTGGGTTTTAGAGAAGCGATGTGCTCTAAATTACCTACCACTGGAGGCTATGGAGGCCGGACACGCCCAGCAAAGAGACCACAGGCCTGCACCTAGGGCACTACTCCAGGATGTGGAGAGGAGGGGACTTGTTTAGGAGGTAAAGCTGGCAGGGCTTGAGCATTCTGAATGTGGGCCTCAGGAAAAGCCAGGGCAGAGTCAAGTTTCAAGCCTGGCTGGGAAGGGAGTGGCAGCGCCCCGACAGAATTAGAGATTCCTGGAGAAGTGTAGGTGGTTGTGTTACTTAAAGGTCTATAAGTAGCAAAAGCCAACTCAAGCAAGCTTTGCCAAAAAAGGGACCTCACTAGACTTCTTCTAGAATATCTCATGAATCCATGGAACAGTTGAATGACCAGAGAGCTTGGGAACTGGGACAGTTCTAAAGGACCCCTGCACCGGGGACTCATGGGCCTTTTCCTGCACGGTGCCATTTATAATTAGCCCAGGTCTTTGTCTCTCTCACTTCAAGACTAGGAGAGGCTGAGTGGCTCCGCCTCAGGCAGGCGCCTGTCCCTGTGGCAATCAACTGTGATCAAGAAGTCAAGTGGCTTTGAGCAGCGAACCCTGTGGATTGGGGTCAGTTTCCAAAGGATGGTGGCGAATCCAGTTAGCCATGGGCAAACAATCAGAAAAGATCTACCACAAGGAGCGAGATGATAGGTTTGGATTTGTCTGAGTTGGGTTTTAAAAGCCATCCTCTGGAGGAATTGACAAGCTGACAATTAGAAATGAGAGGTTGAGCGGACCACTCGGGGGCAGGAGGTTTGGCAGCCTTTCCCCCTGAGAAGAAGTGCAGCTGGGCAGCTCATTAAAGCCTCCGGGAAGATAACCAGGAGCCCGGAACCAGGCCTGCCCACATTCAATAGGTGAGAGGAAGAAAATGAGGTAGATTACTCAGGAAAACGTGAAGTGTTAAAGAAGCCAAAAAACGAACCGGATTTATGGGGGAAAGATGAGATATCCTGAGAGATTCAACAGTATTTAAGGATTGAATATAAAGCCTGTTGGATTTGGTGGTTTGAACCTGGCCTTCTCAAGTGACAAGGCCAGAAGTCAGAGGTGGAGCTGTCAATGGCGGTCGTTATAAGAAGGAAGGAGGTAGGGTTGTGGTCGGTTATTGGACAAGCCAAAGGCTTGCATATATTAGTTTGGGGAGAGAACTGGACTGAGTTGGTAAACCTGAGGGGTGAGAGCCAGCCAAGAAGTCAAAAGGATGCTGAGATAACATAAGCCCCGTGGAAGATTAGTGACTTTGGGATCTAGGACACGAGTTGATGTGTTCATTTTGAAAGAGTGAAAGGACATGTTCATCCTGAGATGAGAGAGAAATAACTGATGGATGTTGGAGAGGAAATTTTAGGTCAAAAAGAGAGAGGTTGTTGCTTGGCCAGTGTTGCTCAATGGTTAAGCGTTTACCCATGAACCAAGAGGTCCCCATCAAGGCACATGCCTGGGTTGTGGGCTCAATCACCAGTAGGGGGCGTGTAGGAGGCAGCCAATCGATAATGTTTCTTTCATCTCTCTCTCTCTCTCTAAAAATCAATTTAAAAAAGAGAGGTTGCTGCCTTCTCTCTGTGTGTTCAGTCTTCTCCACAAACTTGAAAAGTTCTCAGTTTCAAGAATGCCAGTTGAACACAACCTTTTCAATCAGTGGAAAATTCAAGCAACTCTTCACCAGGTGAGAAAAAGCCTTTGTTAAGGACAACTAACCTAGACAAAACAAAGTATTTGCCATGTATACCAGTGTTATAAATTGCCCTAATATTTTTCATGTAGTTTTGAAGAATATTATAGAAAAGATGTATAAAATATCACAATTATACACTTTTAAAAAATAAGAAAATTCAGCAATATAGTCAACAAACACAACACAATTACTCTTTCAAAGAAAAAACAAAAATCAGGTTTATATTGGTCCACCCATTGGTATTCACTAGGTGTTATTCCTACATTTTTCCCTTAGGGAAAGAGAATGTCCATAATAAAGAAATAAGTCTGCTCTCCGTGTGACCTCCAGGTAGTCTGAACCATTTCTCAAAACTGAGATAAAACACTCTTGTAATTCCGATGCCCGAGTCTTTCAGCCCATCTCCCTGAGCTGGTGAATCCCTTGGAAGTCACACCCCTGGGGGCCTAGAAGGGACTTCTGAGAAAGTTGAAAGAAATTCAGAGGGGAGATGGGGCTTGGGTGCCATCCTTAGCTTTGTATTTCTAAAAACTGTTTTATCAACTCTGTCAAATGGATCAGGCTCTGAGAGGCTGACTGGTCACACTGGGGAATCTCAGCGAACTACAGTTCTGATGCTATCTTTTACACAAGACAGCAGACACACACCTGTGGCTCCATCCCCCCAGATGAGGTAACATCTCAACCATCACAAAGCCTGAGGCATCATCCCCTGTGCCCTCAAAGCAAATACACACAGCTCTGGGGAAAGTGCCTCGCATAGTGTGGGGATTCCACTGGGGAGGGTCGGTGGGTGAGTGAACACACCTCAGCGATTCCAGCCTCTGACTGTGGTCACATAAACTCGTTGGGACCCCCTTCTCTTGTTTGATTCAAGCGGACTTTGCTTCTTTCCCCACCATTCATCATCGGGATATGTGAGTGCCATTGATGTGGCTCAACGTGTTGGTGCATCTGACTTTCACGCGTCTATACCTTTGCCCCTGTGTTTCAAGGCCCTCCCACCCTGTGGTGCTATAGGAACCCAGAAGCTTGCTCACTGACACCTGTAAGCTTGCTCTCACCTGTCACGTGTTGATATGTGACTGATTTCATTGTATAGGGACGACTTGGTTTCTGAGACCACCTACTGCCCTTTCTCCTGACTTCAGAGGGGTCTTTCGGGCACTCCTTGAACCCTCTGAATGTCTGGAGCTTCCTGGCTCTGAGCATGCGCTTTTCTCTGGTTGCTGAGAAGGTCCTTCAGCAATGAGAACAGGCCTGCCTTTGTGAATTGGACCCTCCTGTTCTGGTTGAACATCTCCCTACAGGTCCCATCCACTCAGGGCCCCTCTCCTCCAGGCTCCCAGCTCAGTTCCTATTTCAGCTGTGGAACCAGACACAGTTCCTTCATGACTGGCAACGGCACTGTAGTTTCTCATTGTTCCAAAGTCTGATACTCACCCTGCACTTCCACTCCGGCTGCCACAGATGGGTGTGAAAATAATACCAGCGCTCCCCGTCCTAAGAAAATGAAACCACGTTTAAAAAAATATCCACATCTTACACATTTTTGTTCCTTGTGACCACATATGATATGTATACCCACTCAAGCACTTTGAGTTTTAAAAATGAGTATTACCAATACCTTCCTTTATATTCAGGAATATTTTCAGCTTAATCATAGGACTTTACATGTATCCCTGTGATATTTCACTCTCTTCTAACACAGTCAATAGGTAAAGCAACTTTTAAGATAAGCACCGTTTGTAATGTAAATAAAGGTAGTTAATTTTTCCCCAAGTGCAAAATGGGTTGGTTTTAATTGCTTGAGAACTGATATATATATTCATCTGAGAAAAGCCAGGGCCAGGACCTCTCTCCTGTGTCCAGCTCTACACACACACACACACACACACACACACACACCCGTGTGCACACGCACATGCATACACACACAACATTGTATTAGATCCCATTTACTGTGCATATTTGTTTTGTAATACGGAACTTTCTAATTTACATATTTCCCCCCTAATAGCACCTCATAGTCACACAGGAGGGACTCTGCTTCACATAATGAAGATTGAGGCTCAGAGAGGTGAAGGGACAAAGTTGGAGCTAAGAAGAGAGCCTCAGTCTTCGGACCTCACTGCCTTTTAAGTAGCAGATTTGTAGCAGAAACGTCAAGGGTTTTGTTTTGAGCTTCAGCTCTCATCAGATAGAGCAGAATGACCTTATTGGGAAATGTTATT